TTACTCTTAGATATAAGCTTAATCTTTCTTTCCTCTGACAATCTTGCATATACTTCAATCAAATTAGATAATATTCGTAAAAGGCTTAGTAGAGTGTCTGGCACATAGCAGACACTCTGTAAATGCTCGTACCCTTCCCCTACTTAAGGAATGTTATCATTTCCCTCAGGGGCTTCTTTTATATATTAAACATCCCTTTCTTTATACTTTAAATGACATTCAAGTACCCTCACCATCTTGGCAGATTTCCTCTGTATAGCTAAATAAAGTGATATCTCTCAATACATGTTACCTTCTAGTGGGGAAGGGGATCAGGATCATCTAATTGAAATATTTTCTCTAGTGAGAAGGTCTGGGAATCATCCAAAAATACATTTATCATACTGCCTTGAGCACTTTTATTTACAATTGCTGCCTAGAGCTTGGAGGTGGAATTCATCTTAAGTATTCTGCAATTAGCTGTCAAGTCTATCTTCTCTACTCATAGATCTGACCATATCACTTTTGATCAAAATCTTTCCATTTTTTAAAAATCTAGATAAACCTAAACCTCTTTAGTCTGGCATTGAAGGCCTTTCATAATTTGACACTATTTTAACTTTTCAGTCTCCTTCTATTCCCTCATCCATATCTTATGCTATGTTGGAATACTATGACTTTCTGACCCAATAACTGTATTTTGCCATCTCTGAACCTTTGCTTCCTCTCTTACCTATGCCTAGAAGACCTTATTCCCCTTTCTCCCTATAGAGAGAAGATCCAGTGTTGAATGCCTAACTCACCGGCCAAAGGGCAGAACTAAGAGCAATGAATTTGTTTGTTTTTTTGTAAAGGAAAATTTCCAATAATCAGGGCTACCCCAAATTGGAATGGGATGCCTCAAGACATAGAGCATTTACCCTTACTGGAAATCTCCAGTCAAAAACTAGGTTGGGTATATTGTATCAGTATTGCTTTCTAAAGTATTCATTGGACTACTAGATGATCTCCAAATTCCTTTCCAACTCTGGAGTTCAGTGCTTTAACGTTTTAGATACCTTATAGCTAGTTTTCTTTCTTACATTTTGAGAAGAAAAATTGCCATTTTTTTTCTTTTGGAGAGTGTGGAGGTTCATTATTTATTAAATTCAATTCTCTATCTTTTTAATGTGAAATAATCCAACTGAAATCAGAAAAATAACACTTCTCTTTCAAATTTGAGTGTCACTACATTTTTTGAAGTATTTTCCCCCCTCATATTTAAAAGTGGCAGAAAGTAATGTGAGAACCTTTAGCTCATCCCTACAAATACTTAATATAATCCTATACTATCACGTCAAGCCTCTCTAATTCTTTGCTGTATAGGATAGTTTTTATTAAACCATATTGGTTTTTATGTTGCTATTAAAATTAATCTTGTTAGGTCCTGCTCATTTTTTTTTTTAGTTTTTGAGATGTTTGATATTTCTATTTGTGTTTTCCACAATTTGAGGAATGAGTCTTACATGCCTTTAACCAAGTCTTTGATATAGTATAGGACCAAGGACAAATGCCTTGGACACTCTGTTAGGAAATTATTGAATGCTGATTATTACTCTGAGTTAGGTCACAAGTTTCAAAAAAAACCAAAATTTCTTTGTTTTGGTCGACTTCAGATTTCTGCATACTACCTACAAAGAGGGTGTGATACACGTTGTCAAATGCTTTGCTGCAATCCATGACATTCCTTTGTTATACTTGTCTAATAACTCTCTAAAAAGAGGAAGTGAAATTAGTTTTGTATTATTTCCTCCTTTGGGAAGCCATGCTGGCTATGAGATGTAGTTTCCTCTCTAAATCCTTACTATTTATCATTTAAAATAATCTGTTATAAAATTAAGGCAGACATTGAAAATGTGAAGATAATTTGTCTTTGCTGCCATCTCATTTCGCACTTGATATCCTTCTATACCACATACCCAACACTCTCAGACTGCTCCCTAGTTACCCAAAATGCTTCCTTATAATCTCTTAATCTAGCCTTTATCTGAACTTCAGGGACTACCCCACACTACATTTTGAATAAAAACTTAACCTTTCTTCTCTCTGATTTTATGCTTTTCTATCCAACAACTAGATATTCAAGTAAATAGATCCATGGTCAGGTATTATTGTTTATATTAGGTTGGAGAATTCCCACCTTTGATGCCATTTTAATTTTAACAGGAGTGACTTTTGGGACATGTAATGAACAAAAAGTTGTGCTACATACTTTCTTCAATCCTCACAATCTCTCAAACCTCTCAAAAACAGGAATTATGCAGAATAGAAAAAGCAATTTTAGTTTTGTCTTTAGTCTGGGACACCAACAAATCAAATTAACTAAGAGAAGAAAAGGCTAATCCCTAACCCCTAATCCACAGACTCAGTACTCAGTACTCATTTCCCAACTCTCCACTAGGCTCACACAGCAAGGCTGGATGAGCCAAGCCATAGATTTGCAAGAGAACTCAACTTTCACCACACCCCTCTTCCAGTGCTATAGAAAAGCAAAAGGCGGAAATTTTTTCAGGCTGGATAACAGCATGACAGAGTTCTGAGTTGCAGCAGAGCTCACTCAGAAACTGGAGGAGAAATGGTAAATGTGTGAATACGTCACATTCCATTAAGCCTGAGGAAAAGAACCCAGCTTTCAGCTAGGACCAGTTCTGCACCCCCAGAAGTCATCTGAGTCAGAGATAGAGGCTGACTAGGAATCTCCTGAGACAGCTTTGAGGGCCAGTCCCTAAGAAATCATACCCAAAGTATGGAAGAATCTGAAAGTGAGCAATGGGGAGCCACAATTTTAATAGGAGCAACTCAGAAATTTGTTTTTGCCCACATAATTCTCTAATGGTAGAACTCCAGGAAGTGAGGTTAGATTTGGGGATTTGGGCTATTGGGGAGGAGACCATGCAAGAATTTGTATTTATTTTCAAATTTTTTTTTCCTATTTACTCTAGAGTCAGCTTTGCTGACAATACAGTAGACAGCCTGCTTTGATAACTCAGTAGTCAAGTTGATAGTTCTACTTTGTGGGCCTATTCACAAACATCTACTCTCATAAACGTTTGATCTGGAATTGGTTCAAGTTCCTCTTAAATGCCAAATAACGATGACAGTGATGTTGATACAAGTCAATGAGCTAGAAAATAAATAAGATGGCTTGTGCCACACCCGGCAGTGCAGATGAAATTAGAAATACCAATAACGCACCCTGCACTGGTCTGAATCGTCTCAAATCAGATTACTTGTACCATAGGGTAGTACAAATTGATCACGTTAAAAATATCACTTGGTCTATGATGACAGTTACGCTGTGGGTACAAACACTGTCATGTGAAAAAGGGATTCGACTTTTGTCTGTGTCCTCCCAGAGGGCAGAACAAGCACCATGAAGCAGGAGGTAAAAGGACTGAGTTTTCTGATCAGTTTAAGCAGAACCTTTATTTTTCCTTCAAAGAATGAGAGCAGTTAAATATGGAACAGGATGCTATGGTGGTGATTTTGCCATCTCTAGATGTTTTCAAACAGAAAAACTGAATGGCCTTCTGTGAGAGGTTTTTCTAGATTTTGTGTAATCTTAGAATTGCTGAACTTTAATGTACTTTTCTATTCTAAGATTATGTGACTTTGATTCTACGACTGAAAGACTTGTGTGACCACATATACAATACCTGCATACTCAGATGGATCTTTACTTCATTGATGTGGACATTATTCATTAATACAGATTGCATCTCATCCATGCCTACACATCCCATGTAACTCTAATTTATAGACCTCTGATAACTTTATTACCAAGTACTTATTCAACATATGTGGGAGGGAGGCTTCCTCACCTTCTCTGGAAGTATTTGAATTCTATAGATTCAGAAAAAAAAGTAGATACAGTGTCTCTCTCTGAATTAATATTTTGTAGATAGTTATATTTTCTTCCTGAAAATGATACATATTGCTATTAAGTTCTTTCTGGTTTATTATGCCTATTGTTGACCTAACTTTTCAGGTAGACTAACTGGCCCTTTGTGGAACTTGTGCTTCTTTACAGAATATTGAAATTTCAAGGCTGGAAAGGATCTCAAATGTCATTGAATGCAATCAGTGCCTATACAGGAATCTACTTAATAACACCCATAAAAAATGTGATTGTCTTTTTTCTTCTTGAAGACCTCCAGGGGTGGGGAAATTCAATAACTCCCACTGCAGCTTATTCTAATTTAGGATATTTTTACTCATTAAGAAGTTTTTCCTTGTATGGAGCTGAATAATACCTCTCTGCTACTTCCACTCATGTGATGGCTTTTCCAAACATTCAATATTACTTTCCATAGAAAATTATAACAGAGCACTTGTCATATAAAATAATAACTACATAAATGAATGCATATGTAGTTATTCTATAAGACTAATGCTATATAATGACAACTATATATGTGAATATTATATATAGTTTTATATAATATCTTAGGAAGATCCTGAAGATTACTTAGCAAGATAAGACACCAGACATTGAGGTCCTTTACCAGACACTGAGGTCCTTTTTTGAACTAAACTGCCAAGCATTCAAACTCTGCTGGAGAGAGTACAACTATGATGGGCTGGCCACATTATTTGAGTGGCAAATGTATGCTTTCCCAAAAGACTATTTTACTAAGAACTCACACAAGATAAGCGCTTACAAGGTGGTCAGAAGAAGTGATACAAGGGCACTCTCAAGATCTCTCTTAAGAACTTTGGAATTCATTGTGTGACATGGGAGACACTGGCACAGGACTGCCCAGCACAGCATGCTCACATCAGAGAAGGTACTATGCTCTGTGAGCAAAGCAGCTCAAAAGAAATGGGAGATGCACAAATTTAGAGAATCCACCTCAAATGATCACATGGACTATTTGTGCCCAACCTATGGTAGAGCATTCTGAGCTCGTATTGGTCTAATCAGCCACAGTCTGATGCATTGTAACTTGTCATTGTGATGTCATCATGGTTCTCTTTGAGAAGGAAGGATGAAGGCCAACAACCAACCAACCATAGTATGTATAGTTATTATTTTATATGACAAATGTTCTATTATAATTATCTACAGAAAAAGAGACATTCATCACACACATATGCAAATATCTATCTATCTATCTATCTATCTATCTATCTATCTATCTATCTATCTATCTATCTATCTATATGAGAGAGAAAGACAGAGAGAGAGAGAGCTTTAAACATCATCTCACTTGATTTTCCTAAGAAAACTCTGATCTGAGGCGGTGACAATGTCCCTGTGAATGTAACTGAGCAGAAAGCAAAAGTGGTTTAGTGGGCTTTTAAACATAGAATTATCACAAGCAATTAGAGTGACCAAATGGGGAGTGACTCACGCAAAATAGAAGAAACAATTATGAGATGAAAACCTAAATTTGACAATTTGACAACTTACGTTGCTGTTTTGCTTAAAACTTGTAATACACTTTCCTTACAATAATCCTTTGAGTAGATATTGGAGATAATGCAACTGTTTTTGGTCTGGCTCTGTGACTTCACTGATAAAGGGAATTTCCCATTGAGAAATTTCCCTCTACCAATTCATATAGGCAACTGCTCTTCAACTAATTGTCTTTGAGATTTGCTTGAGGAGCTGAGAGGTTATATTATTTGTCCATGGTCCCACAGTTAAAATATGATCGAAGTAGAATCTGAGACCAAGTCTTTCTGACCATTATGGAATTTTATAAGCATTACTATCTTCACTTTATAGTGAAAGAAACTGAGACATTGAGAGGTTATTTTACTCATGATAACACAACTATTAAATGTTGAAGCCAGCATTGAAATGTATATCTCCTGACTATAAATCCAGTATTTTTCCCACTATGGCATATTACCTTCTTCAGACATGACATGAAATCAGTTGTTAATACAATGTGGCTTATAAGTGTTTGGACTACACACATCTTAGTAAATTAATGGTGGCTGCTTCCCAGAGGATTTAAAACATCATCCTTATGGGAAATATAAAACCACTTCAAACATACTACATCAAAGAATTATAATATTATAGGAGAGTAATAATAGCCCTTTTTTTTGGATGTTTTGGCTATCCCAAATACATTGTGGGAGAATGGCTTTTTGGCAGTAAAATTAATGTTATGGTGTCCTTTATCTCTTATGAGCTCATGAATTTAATTCATGATAAACATTCAGATAGGTAATTACTGTTCACATTTTGAGGCTGCTGGATGGTACAGTGGATAGAGCTGGGCCTGGTGTCAGGGAGATTCATCTTTTTGAGTTCAGATTTGGCCTCATATACTGTTTGCCTCAGTTTCCTCATCTATAAAATGAATGGGCAAAGGAAATGGCAAACCACTGTAGTATCTTTGCCAAGAAATGGGGTCATGAAGAGTTAAACATGACTAAATACAACTGAACAACTCATATTTTTATCTTTTAGCAAATTGGCACAATGTCCAAATAGGATGAGAATATTGGCAGTATAAGTTATCTCTCTCATCCTCTATTATTCAGATGACCAAGGGCTTCCCATTCTTCTCTATTGCCTAACTTTATTAACACTACAAAACTACAACCAGCTACAATCATGATGCTAAAACTTGGTGGTCAGTACCACACTTTTGCATCTATTTAGGAATGTATCAATATATTAATTTGTTTCTAGCCTTGGTTACTGTAGAATATTCCCATTAACTTTCTGACCCATCCAAAAATGATTGACTTAGAGAAAAAGCTTGGTATTGTAGAAAAAAATAAAACCAAAAAACATCAAATACTAAATTTGGAAAAAAGGAAGCCTCATTATGGCCAAGCTAGCTTTAAGACTTATTGGAAACCAAGGGAAAATCATCATATCACAGAATCATGGATTTTTATTTGGATAGGACCTTAGTGATCATCTAGTCCAACTTTTTAATTTTACAGAATAGGAAACTGAGCTCTACAGCAGTGAAGTGATTTCTTTTCAAGATCCCATGGCCACCAGTAGGTCGAACCAGGATTTGTATTTAAGGAACAAAACAAAATATACTTTCATTATAGATCGTCACATCTATGTGCTGATAGGAAACAGATATCTAAGGATGTCTGACTGTTCATACCTAGATGGATGTCATTCACTTGCCAGTTGTTCATTTTAAGAACAAGTTCTCTTTTGTCCACATGAAGATCCAGAATACTGTAATATGATGTCTTTTGTAAATTTCTTATTAATGTCTGCTTATTTCAGTAGTCATTTCCTGATATGCCCACTTCAATGGCTTCCAATATAACCAAAAGTCAAATTACCTGACAGCATGACCACATGTGACAATTGATGGAATATCTCAAATATTTCAGTCTCTCTCTCTCACTTCTCTACTGACAGGACGATGCTTGCTTATGATTACTATATTCAATGACTACATCATTGTAGTCATCAAATAGTGTTCTAGTTCTATTTACTTCATTTAAGAATTATTTACGATTTTTCAGAAATAGGATGCAATGTTGAAAAATATATCAAATAAGTTAAAAGGGAAAAATTAATACAATAAACATTCTATATAGCCATCTTATTGGGAATGCCCTAGTAAATGATATTTCCCTCAAGATGCTGACACCAATATTAAAATAAACAATTAAAAAATCAAATGTTTACCCTTGTGAACTATTAAATATATACGAATAATTTTCTACACATAAAACATTTTATTATTTATAATTTATAAAAAGTATTTATAATTTTTAAAAAAAACATTTTTTCTGGTTCTTAATAATGAGATCATTTTAGCATAAGCTTTAATTGCTAAAGGGTGACATACATCTACTGTTTGGTAGTCAACAAATCAGCTCAAGAGCAAACATGTACTGCCATTTCAAGTTTTGTCAGCTTTGAGGAGATGCAGACTTACAGTAAATGTGGAAATCCATTTTCAAGCCTGCCACTCAGCTTTCTATTAAACACAGCTGGTGGCACAGTGTGTAGAGCACAGGGCATGGAGTCAGGAAGACCTGAGCTGAAACCCAACCTAGACACTTACTATCTGTGTGACCCTGGGCAAATCACTTAACTTCTGTTTGCCTTAATTTCCTCTGCTGTAAAATGGGGATAATAATAATACATACCTTGCTGGGTTTTTGTGAGATCAGATGAGATAACATTTGTAAAATTGTGCTTAGCACAATACCTGGTACATAATAGCTGTTATATAAATGCTTATTCCCTTCCCCTTCCTCCTGATTCACCCTTCAAGAGAAAGATAAGATAGTAGCAAAAAGCAAGTTAGCATGAATGTGAAAAGTATATAAAGATGAAGAAACAGTATCAGCTATGTAAGACTTATCCATGGTCATATATGATTCAAACCCAGGTCATCTTCATTCCTAGAAAAATCCCTGGTAAGCAATAACCTCAAGTTACCTCTGCTTCAGAATCTTCAGAAATGAGAGATCCGGTACCTGCCACAGCAGCCCATTACACTTTTCAATGGTCTTGAATGTTAGGAACTTCTTTCTTATGTTGAGCAAAATTTGCTGCCCTATAACTTTTACCTATATCTCTTCCTTCTTTGTGGATGAACAAAGCAGAATAAATTGAATCCTTTCACATGACACCCCTTCAGAAGTCTATATAGTCATGTACTCTTTAAATCTTCTCTAGACTGAAGGTGATCATTTTCTTCAACTAGCCTTTATAGGACATAGACTCAAATATTCTGAGCATCATAAGATGCTCAGAACAACTAGCCAATATTATATAGGATCATACACTAGAATTGGAAGAAATCTCAGAGGTCACCTAGTCCAAATCCCTTATTTTATAGATGAGGAAACTGAGGTCCAGGGAGGCTCAGGATCACACGGATAGTATGCTTAATAAATTGGATTTGACCCAAGTGCTCCAACTCCAGAGCTAATTTTTTTTCCAACTTACTATGATATATGAAGATCTAAGGCATTCCTTGGGCCAATACAGGGAATAACAGTGGCACAAATCATTCCAAAACAGTGAATCAGAGCATTATAGAGCTGGAATAAAACTTGGAGGTCATCATTAACCTATTTGATTCACAGCCTTAAATTAACTTTTTGAATGGATTATTACTTTGGAGCAGGATGTCTGAACCATTTTAATAGTATTTGCCTTTAGATGGTAGTAAAATTAATTTTTCGTTTCCTCAGTTCACCATATCTCTCAGTACAAAGGAGATGGTGACTCAAAAGTAAAGAGGGAAATAAATGATACTTATTGCAAGACTATTAATTTGCTACAGAATTGATAAGATTTATTGAGTCAAGTATATTTTACAAAGTTGCATTTCATAGAATTAGCATTTAGCTCCATACTGCATCCTTTATTATTGCTTCATTCATTCATTCAACAAGCATTTACAATTGTCTAGTGTGTGGCAGGTGCTGTGCTACATATGAGGGATATAAAGACAAAAAAAATGAAACAGTTCCTATTCTCAACGAACTTAAAATCTACTAGAAGAAAAAAGTATGTTCAGATAAGGCAATACAAATATTTACAAAGGAAATATAAACACTTTTTTTGTAGTGACAACACTGGTAACTAGGGAGATCAGGAAAAACCTTATGTAACGAGGAACTCTTCTACTCAGTTTTGGAGAAAGCTATGGACTATCTGAAGATGTGGAAGTAAGGAACCTTGCAACAATGAGAAACAATGTGGAAAAATGCACAAAGGAGGGGAATATAATGCTGTGTATGAGGAAAATAGAATGAGTATAGCATATGTGAGGGAATAATTTGTGATCAGGCTAGAAAAGTAGGTTACAGCCAGATTCGAGAAGCTTTTAAATATAAAATATAGGAGCTCACAGATGAAATAGGGAGCCACTGAATCTTCTTGAACAGGGGAATGTTATAGACAGACTTTTGCTTAGAAATAAGAATTAGTATTGTCCTTCCCTGATTAGACTGTAAACCCCTAAGGGTAGGGTAGGCTTTTGTGTTCCATTCTTCACAATGCTTAACAAAATTTTGGGTACAATGCTGAGCTCACAAAATACCTATTGGTTCATTACTTTCTCCTTTGATTCCAGGTGATCCATAAGGATCTTCTAAAACCTCTAAAGATGGTTTGGACTTGGGTTTTTAGAATCCATCATTTTTTTTTTTAAGTCTTGCTTTCTATGTTCTATTGAATTCTTCAGTTGTCCCTTTCCTGCCCTCTGCTGGAAAAGAAGAGATAACTAGGCATTTATTCAAGAGTGATAAGCCTTAAGAGATAACATCACAGCATATAACCATCTCTTTATGTGCCTGGAAGCAAAAATCTGCTTCTTGGCCTCTGTAAACTTGTACAACTTTCTACATACACCTCTTTGCTAACACCAAGGCTAGAAATATTTCCATTCTGTTGAACAGAAATTCAAAGTTTACACAAATGTATGCATGAACATATACATATATACACACATAGATATAAAATATTTACATGTATGTATATACATACACAAATACACATGTGTGTGTGTGTATGTGTGTGTGTGTGGTGTCCCTAGTATAGTATTTTTAGCATTCATCAAGAACAAGGACTATCATTTCCATAATATCTATTCAAGTATGGATTTTTTTTAATACTTCAAACAAATAATGTTCATCCCCATTCAGTTCACAAATTTCTATATCTAAGCAAACACAACACTGTGAAAGAAATTTATCAGCCACGCAAGAAATGCTCTTTGTGACTTTGGGTAACACACCATTGACTAGCAGTGCTTGAAGGGACATTAGAGACCATCAAGGGTACATATTTGATAAGCATGATTCCTATAGTTTTATCTAAGTAATTGATAAAAAAAGGCCAATATTGCTGCACCAAGTGTATATCCCTGGACACTCCACTGGAGATATCCCTCCCACTTGACGAGGACCATGAATATCATTGAAGCAATCATGCACTAGACTTGAAGTCCAGTGATTCAGGCAGCGCATCATGCACTGAATTGTACTTTCTACTAAGCCATATTTCTCCATCTTGTTCTCATGAATAACATGAGAGAATTTATGCTTTGGTAAAGTAAAGCTCAACTCTAACTATAGAATTCTGCTAACACAGCATTCTAATAATTTTGTCACACAGGATAATTAGGCCACCCTGAAAAAGATTCAAATGAAGCCATTTTGGCTCTTTGTGACAACTTATTCTTTTTGTAGATGTTCTCTAACAACCCACCTTATAATGTATCATAGAATTTTGTTAGGAATAAAAGTCATCCTCCCTAATCTATGTCCTATCATTTACAGATTTCATTGTCTTCCTTTTAGAAAAACTCAAGAGCAAGTTTGCCTTTATCCAGTCCTTTGTACTCTCCAATATTCCACAAGTTTAAAAAGATCGTGACCAGTCATTTAGCATTCATATTTGCCAATAGAGATAGGTGGTACAGTGGATAAAATTTTCGGTCTAGAGTCAGGAAGACCTGAGTTTAAAACCAGCCTTTAATACTTGTTGGCTGCATGGCCCTGGGTAAGTCACTTAACCTCTGTTGGCCTCAGTTTCCTCCACATTGTAAAATGTGGATAACAGCAGTACTTTCCTCACAGGGTTGTTGTGAACATCAAATGCGATTGACTTTGTAAAGTATTTAGCATAGTTCCTGGAATATAATAGATGTTACAAAAATGTTTATTCACTTTCCTTGTTCCCTTCCCCAATTCTTGGCTTGAATTTTTTTTTTTTTAGTTTTGGTTTTGCTTTTTTTTGGGGGGGTAGGCAATGGGGTTAAGTGACTTGCCCAGGGTCACATAGCTATAAGTGTCAACTGTCTGAGGCTGTATTTGAACTCAGATCCTCCTGACTCTAAGGCCAGATCTCTATCCACTGTGCCACCTAGCTGCCCCTTTGACTTGAATTCTTCAAGGCCATCTAGTTGCTCTCCTATTACCTCCTTAATTATCTTGGGTAACACATATTTTATTTGCCATATTTATTCTGTTCTTTCAAGTCCAAATTTAATTTTTCTTGGCAGAGAAAATAGGAGGGAAATAAGAATTGAAAACCAAATTTTAATAGTCAGAATTATAGATTATGAGCATTTGAAGGGCCCTAAGAGTCATCTTATCCAATCTATACATGAAGGTACCCCCATTCTGACCCCCTACCCCATATTGGCTTTGTAGCCAGAAACACTAGATTGAAACAGTGCCTCTTTTTAGGTATTTTCAGAGAGGGAGAACGTTTTGTTCATTGACAAAATGGACACTATGAAAGGTAGCCATCCCCCCCTCCCTGTTAGGCCATAAAACCCCAGGAATAATGTTTGGAGTTTTGTACTAGTCTGTCTTGTCTGATCTTTTTTAGTTCTATGCACAGGCAGTCTGATCTTTAATTCAAGTTATGATGACCTTGGATTAGAGGACTGATGTTGTTACTAGCCCAACAAAAAGGACCTGAGAAACCATCATGACTGGTAAGTAAGCCCAAGGGGGAGTTTGGTCTTGGAACTTGGTGGAACTGTATTATATTGGAACTGATATAAACTGTGAACCTAATCTCCTTGTCCCCAGAGATGAAGGTTGTATAAGAAGGAATCGTGCCTCCTCATGTGTTTGAGGGTATGTTTGTGTATTTATTTTTGCTAAACCTTTGAAGTAAGTATTACTTTGTAAAAACAAATCTGACTATTAAGTCCCTGTGTCAGAAGTCAGCTATTTGTTCCACCAGTCTAGATGACTCCATTAAAACAAACAAACCAAAAACCTTGTTTTAACTTTGAGTACATGGCATCATAAGATAGTGGGTGAGTAGGTTCCCTAATCCCATCTTGTCATGATTACATGAACCAACCTGAGGCAGCACTGACTCCATCTTCTTATTTGAAATCTGGACCAATCAAGGCTGGAAATTGCCTAATCTTGTGTATAAAAAGAACAACACAGAACAAATGCTCTGCCAACACATGCTGCCTTGGTGTAGTGACAGTTTTTTTCTTATTTCCTGAGTTTGCTTTAATTGATCAGGGCAAGGGTGTAACCTGGGGTTATCGTTGGTGCTTTCGACAATTTTGAGGACCATAAAGGGATTAGGGCCCTTCATTCTTGTGGCTCTCACTTGAGGAGTCCAACTGCTTCTCTTCAGCCAGCAGAAGGCCTTTGCCCCAATCCAAGTTGGTGTAGACTCCTCTGGTCTCCTCCGGTAAGTCAGACATGAAATGATTTTAGAATTAAACTCCCAAAACTCAGAAAGGAAAAGAAGAAATAGGTCCCAAACGCAAATTTTAATTCTTCTCATTTGTGCACAAAGAAATGGAACAGCACTCATAGGGGAAGAGGCAAGGTAAGAAATGGGCTTGCAGTGCATGAGAGTATCCCCTCATTTACTAGGGAATATCAATATGGAATTAGGATGTGCAAGCCTCCTACTGACTCCCATTTAGGCAATCTGTTAAATCTCAGGTCAAGGAAACCCTGCCAGTTTATATCCACTTGAGCTTCACTGCTAAGTAGGGACTGGGAAAATTGTGCCTAGCAAATTTGTCCAAATAAAAGACAGTTCTCTGAATTATTGTCTGCTGCACAAGTTAAAAACCAGCCTTGAAAAACTAGAGCCTAGGGGAAGAGAAAAAAAAAAGAACAAAGACCATGACACTCTTAAGAAATCACTTTCATAAAGAAAACTAGAGAAGAGGAAATAAAGATTTTGGTGGTTCCCAGAAAGGGTCAATGCAGGCAATGAGGAGGGATTGATGGGGCTTCCACTTCAGAAGTTCTCTAGCATGTACAAGGTCATTTTAGCTAGGAGAACTTTGGAGGGGAGCACTTCATCCCTCATAGAAACTATGATGAGACAGCACTGAAAGGAAGTATAGAAGGGCAGGGAAGTCTAATGAAGCCTGAAACAACTCTGTCAGCTGTAGGCAACATTAATCAGGGACTTATTCTCACTAACTTTTGATTAGATTTTCAGTGGGAAATAAGAAGGACAAACTATGAGATTCTTTCTCTCTTCCTTCACAAACTTGACCAGGCTAGAGATCAAAGAGATAAAGACAGACAAGAAAAGGAAGGAAATATTTTTTCCTGGGTGTGTAGATATTTATGGCATTATAAACTAGAGACTAAAAATGTAACTGAAATGTATTATCTTTTCTGTAAATTTCCAAAATATGATTTAAAGACTTTTGTAACTGCTAAAATACCTTAATGGAATTTTGGAGGTTTGCAGCTAGGATTAAGATTGAGGGCAAATAGCACATGCCTCTCTCACCCTCCTGGAGAATGATAGATACATTTTGTTCCAGTAATCCCATTACATTCTAGATATGCCTACAGACACTTTGCTAAGGGAGTAGAGAACTATTAGCTGGGTTTCAAATGCCAAAGTAGTATGTAAGAAGAATAATTGTCTGGAACTCAAATGGTCTCAAGAATTGTCCTTTTCTAAAGCCTATAAATTTGGACTGCCAGACTACCTCTCAGTATCCTCTATTCCAAAAACCTATCAACATGCATCAGAGCAGTCATGAATACTGGAAGAGAAGACTTGATCTGTCCAATCACAGTTTCTACCTTCCAGGCACTAGTGCTTGCCTGTGGCTGCTAAGCGTATTTCAAAGACTAGGATTCCTAAGTTAGACTTTCCCAGCTAAGAGATGGTAGCATTCAGATCACCAAAATATTTTCTTCAGAAGAAATGGCAGAAACAGAAGTCAGCATGCCCTCTCTGCCCCAGGGAAGAGTTCCAAATCAAGGGATTGCCTTGTGGCTTACCTTAAGTTCAAGAGTTGCCAAGCCCTCTCTTTGGGGAAGCTAGGTGGTGAAGTGGATAGAACACCAGCCCTGGATTCAGGAGGACCTGAGTTCAAATCTGGCCTCAGACACATACCACTTACTAGCTATGTGACCCTGGGCAGGTCACTTAACCCCCGTTGCCCAACCAAAAAAAAAAAAAGTTGCCAAGTTTGGTAGTTCAGGGATAAATCTTTGGATCTTCTTCTGAGAGTAGGGAATTTCCTGAAACAGGAATATTGCATGCCTTGGAGAAAGAAGACAAAACTACTCTTTGAATTCCTAATATCCTAATTTGTGAGTTAATCCAGAAAGTAATATAGGGTGGGTGTCCCAAAAGTCTTTGTGTGGTTTAAAGCATTGAAATTTAAGCATTAAAGTTTAAAACTGAATCAATACTTTGAGAATACTCAGTATTAACTGTATAGGCCCAATGTGAAGGAGACTGAATATACAAGAACCCTTGAGAATTTATGCTTCTAGGAGAAATTCAAACTACAGAGTAGCACTAAAAGTCTGGGACAGAAGCTATAAAGGCTAGGGAGTCACCAGAATGCCAAAGTATTGACCAGATGGCAACCCCAAGTTCATTTTCCTTTACTGATAGGTTATCCCAATTTTTATATATTTTGTATGAAAGGGAAATAGGTTGTCGTGTGACAATTACAGGTCTTTCTCTTAGTCATTGTTGGCAAGATAGATTCTTGAGGCATGGGAGACACCAGCAAATGACCACCCAGCATGATGTGCCTGCATCAAAGTAGTCACTGTTACTCTATGAGCAAAGCAGAATTGCAGTAGCTCAAAAGATGCCAAAATTTAGAGACATCTCCATTCCAGATGTTCATATGGACTATTTGTGTCTGATCTGTGGTAGAGCCTTTCAAGCTCATATTAGTCTGATTAGCTGCAGTTAAAATCTCTGCACATTGACCTTAACATAATGATGTCATTTTGGTCCCCTTTGAGTAAGAAGGACGACTACCACCCTGTGCTTTGTATTTCCTTAGCATAAATTGTAAGCTTCTTCTACAATTTGTGTGGAGTGAATTAAAGGCAGTTCTGCTAATCATTAGTTATTTTCAGTGCTTGCATAGTGCTATGAAAGAAGACGTCATATGAGCTCTATTGTTGTTGTTTGGCCTTTGTTCTTGAAGTGGACCATGGCATCAGGAAGTTGATGTACAGACTTGCAGGTGAATTGGATTTAAGTGAGGCAGGGCTGTGCAAAGTCACCAGCCTCACTCTGCCCTCTGGAGCCATCTGGGTCCAGTGGCAAGATACAGATCAGGATGACTAGAGATGGCCCCGGATGAAGTGGGAGAGACATTGGCCTTTTCAAGCTCAGGTCTTCCCCAGGTCTCAGTTTGTCTGAGGCAATGCCCATTTGGTGATCAAGCCTAGGTAAGAAATGAGGCAGAGAATGGCCTCTTTTACCTAGTCAAAAAGAAAAAAAAAGAAAATCATTCTGGGAGGTGAAGATTCTCAGGGTTTCTGGCCAAAACAGAAAACAATTACTATTTACACTCACTCTGAATTATCAGAGCCCAAACAATGGCCAAATGAGGTTTGGTCTGGGACTTATTGTTGGCCAATCAATGAGAGCCAGTGTGATTTGGATTTAAGACATTGTCCTTAAAAAAGAAATCTAGTCTTTAACCCCCAAAATATTTTGGGAGGTTTCAGTGATCAAAATTTAGATTCCTTTGGGCAGAGCACCTACAGGTAAGAGCATGATTCCCTATATGCACAGTGGGAGAGGAGGAAGGAAGGAAGGAAGGAAGGAAGGAAGGAAGGAAGGAAGGAAGGAAGGAAGGAAGGAAGGAAGGAAGGAAGGAAGGAGCTGCATTGCCCAACTGAAACTGGCCAGTTGAGTCCCCAGTGGGGCAGCTACTAATACTCACTTTGTTGCTTGTCCTTCATTCTTGAAGAGGACCATGGCATCAGGAAAGTGATGTCATGACTTGCAAAAGAATTGAATAAGCTCTATTATGAATATATTAGAGATGTTCCTGGAATAATTCTATGTGGAACCAATGGACCAAGAGGGGAAAAAATTATTTTCCTAACTCCCAGGATTGGACCCATTTCATATAAGTGTATAGTCTTAGAGAGTTCAAGGCTGTGGGTTACTTGTGAAGATTCTGAAACTCTGGCTCAGAAAAACTGAATTACTTACCCACTGTCTTAAAAAATAGAGCTAAGATTAGAACCTACATTTCCTGGTCTCCAGTACTATTCTGGACATCCCTCTGTGATGATACAGTGTACCTTTGGTTCATTATTCATTGCTTTTCTTTTTGACCCTCTTCCAATCTTTCTTCTATACTCCCTGGGTTATTAATGATCTCATGATGCCCCATTGATCCATGGGATGGCTGGCTTTCCTTGAGTGTTAGAGAGGCATTAGATCAGCCACATCTGAAAGCCAGCCTTCTTTCTCTAGCTGCAGATTGATCCTAAGTATTTAGTCCTGCTCCCAACAACGAAGTAATAGGGAGGAGCTGGGTACTATTAATTCACCTCCTCATTAAAACGTCCACTAATCAGTGTTGCCTTATGTTTGGCAGGGAAGGTCTAAATGATGCACTGTCAGGACAACCAGAAGGAAGACTCACAAAGGTTTAAAAGATGCTGTTGGCCCTCAATCTACATCTTTGGCACAAACGGAGGTTAGTTATAAAACCCCTTTGTTACCAGGCTTTATGCCCCTGCAAATAAAGGATATATTAATTGGAGAATTGCCTCAATCTGCCCTTTGTTAAATTCTGACTGAGGCATTTGAAGGAATATTTGAAGTCCATTGAAAGAACCATGAAGCCCTAATAGTGAGGCCCTGAAGAATGATTTGAGGAACCTAGAGCAATGAAAACTGACATAAGGACTCATCCAGTGCCTATGCCACACTTGGAAGTGAACTTGGTGGGAGCAATTTGATAAAGAAAAACTCTTTCAAATTTGGGACCAATTGCCCTAGGGATTGAAGTGGTATTAGAGAGAGTGTAGCCCCAAGTATTAAAGGAAATGTTTATACTTCAGTTCTTAAAATATGTTCATAATAAATATCCTTTTATAAAAGTAAATTCATGTTAATTGGTTAAGTGATGCTGAAAGGGCTAATCAGTTTGTTAACATGAAAAAGAACCCATTCAAATGGAAATTTGAGCCAATACCATTGGACTAGGGGACACACTTATGGGTTGCCCTAAAATTCTGAGGGAGAGATATTACTGGCCTCATTCTGATATAGTGAGATTAGATTCTCACTATATCATCATTATATATCTCACTTTATTATTATTATTATATTATTTTACTATAATTATTGCTATTATTATTCCTTATTATCTACTTATTGTAACTGCAGGCACAATCCTCATTTTGAGAGGCTCTTTTCCTAAATAGAAAAAAAATATTAATTACGATTAATTATAATCTTAGCCTGCATGTTAATTTTTTTTAAATTGAAGTGTGGCCACTTTGTAGCTTCATAAATTTACATCCAGATATTAAACTCTTTTTTCTTCCAACAGTTTCAAGAAGTTTTTTTACCCTTACTCTGAGATAAAAGTAGCTTCTCTCAAAGGTCATTTTCAGGATATTTATTAGTGCCTAAGCTGAATAGACTGTTGTTCCTGAGATAACTACAACCTTCCAGTATTACTTACTATTAATGTCATTGAGTTATTTATGATAGCCATCCCATCATACACATCCTTTCAGGTAACAGGTGACTAATGAAGTTACTGGCGATTTGAAGGTTAATCTCATAGTTTTATTTTTATTTTCTAGTAGTATGGAGGTAATGTTTTCCCCATTTAGAAATCCTTAAATGAATGAAATGTATACAACTTTCGGTTAGAGAGCATTGAATGAATGAATGAAAATATGAATTTAAAAGGCATTTATCAAGTGTTTAATATTTGCCAAGTATTATGTTAGGCACTGGGAGAACAAAAAAACAAACAAACAAACAAAAATATAGAAAATAAGTCCCTGTTCTGAAGATGCTTACATCATAAAACGGGAAGTTGCTTTAAATCTTTGTAATAATAAAGGCGGTCTGGGTTGTCAGAGCCATAGATAAAAGTGATGGGACTGCTAGAATTTCATCTACCTCATTGGGCCTCAACTAACAAGTTACTTAGTTTGCAACTTAAAGATTGCAACAGATAGTCACATAATTGATTGATCAATTTACCAGTTGGGCAGTGTAGTACTGAATTTAGCCACCTGATGGCCCTCCAAATAGATTTCAGTTTACTTCAGTAATGTGATTCTTCTTACCAGCCCGCAGTCTCTCCCAAGAGATGTATGTAGGTGGGTGAATCTGGCACCTAGGTCTATATGAATCTAGGGGTATAGCCTGTGATATGCTCAAAATTACCAAAATAGACTTGAGCATTTCCTTTTTCATTCATACCTCTCATTCCTTAAATTTTTTAAAAGTCTTTTTCCCCCTAAAAGTTCATGTGATTTATTGAAACACCATAAGGTATCTAAAAACAACAGCATAGCATGACACCACAAAACTGTAAAAAGTTTTCAAATAGAAACCAGCTCCACACTGTATACTTCCTCCTAGCCTGTAAAGGGGGAAAAGAAAAGGATTTGGAAAGTTTTATAATTGTGGAGGTTTCCCTCAGAGCGTTCTGAATGAAAAGGGGAGGAGGAAGGAGTAGAGTTGGCATCTCACTCACCATGGCTGTGGTTCATGGCATACTCTTCCTAGACCAATCAGTCCCAAATATGATTCAATCTGCTCCTCTTCCACTCCACTTCTTGCCATCTGCTCTTGGTTTACAGCACCACAAGTCTGCTCACAGGGCCTACTGTCTTCCAGAAGCAATCTCAATTCTTCCTTTATCTATTCCCTCCCCCACAAGTTTAGTGGCATCATTGAGGTATCAAGGAATGAAGAGCCCCTCTGCTTCAGTCGATCAAAAGGGAAACCCATTATGAAGTATGGTTGGATATTTTCTTTTTCCCACACCAAGTCTAGTTAACTTGTTCCAGGAAATCTCTTCCAGGGCAAAGGAAACAGAAATGCAAGGAATCTGGGAAATGAATGTTCTACCACATGTACTAGTTTCATCGATAGGTTTTAAATCAGCTAGGTTTTGGTCCTGGCTTTGCCACTTATTATTTCTGTGACCTTAGACAAAATTTTTAGCATCTATGGGCTTCACTTTCCTACTATGAAAAAAAAAACACATAAATAATATCTAGCATTTACATAGCTCTTTAAGGTTTACAAAACACTTCAAATATGTTATCTTTTTTGATGCTTACAACAATCCTGTGAGGTAGGTGCTTTTATTATTCCTAGTTTACAGATGAGAAAGGTTGAACGACTTGGCTAATGCCATATAGCTTTGTGTGAGACAGAGACCACTACTCAAAATCAAGACAAAGACTTAGATACCTTGAAAGCAGAAAGCAGTTTATTGCTTTCTCATGAGAAAGGGTACCACTCAGCTCCCAGCCAGGGAGTACAAGTTGGTTACAGAAAACAAGCCTTATTTGTACCCTAACTCGAGCTCCTCCTCCCTAACCCCCTTCCCTTTATCCCATTGGCTGGGCTTCAGGGGACACAATCTATTCTGGGAAATCTTCCCCAGCAACAAAAAGGTGGGAAGTTTTGTAAGGGTAAACACTTTAGTTTGGGGGTGGGGCTATCCTTTCTGCTAAGTGCTTTAAAAAACAGGGTGGGGGGGATTGACAAGGTCAGAAGGGAGTGTGTTTCAACAATACAACTAAATTCCTTGAGAAGGCCATCTACAACAGGTGCCTCCAATTTCTCTCCTCTCACTCTCTTCTTTACCTCTTACTATCTGGCTTCTGACCTTATCATTTAACTGAGACAGCTCTCTCCAAATGACCAGTGATCTCCTAATTGCTGCCCTTTGTGAGGACTATTAACCCTTTGAGGAGGCTTCACTTCTGAGAGATCATTTCTCACAGCTTGTTAGTGTTAGGGGAAGGATTTGAACTCAGGTCTCATATGCCTCTGAATTAATTGAAAACACAGCAGGATTATCATTTGGTTTGAAATTGTTGTTGAAAATCTTTCTGAAATTATATCCTTCCAATTCTCTGCCTTACCAACTAGTTTCTTTTGAATGACGCTAAATCTGTCTTACTCTGCCTATAGATGCTTTTCTTTTAGCTAAGTCGAAGACTCACTAATTGACCATAAAATGATGAACTCCCCTCAGCCTGAACTTTGACAAAGAAATTGTCCCGCTGAGTGGACCTGCTCTGGCTTCTGACTCTGCTGCTATTCCTTCATATACTCTGGTTTTTAGTTTACCTCCCCTACCCCTACGCCCACCCCCACCCCCACCCCCACTCCAGTCTGCAGCATGTGAACACTGGCCCTCCTGTTCTTTTTGGCCTCTTGATACCTTACTTATCCATTCTGGAATTTATTGCCCTTGAATTTTGACCCTTATGGTTTAAACTGGGGATTCCCTCAACTCTGTCTTCTTTTTGGAACAGCTTCCCTCAAGCCTCCCTGGTTTGTTTACTCAATTAATGAACTTGCTGATTAAAGCTGAGACACACAGCTGCTAATCTTTGGCATAAGGCCTTTGGCTCAAACTCAGGCCTATACCTGGTTGTGTTAGTTGGTATGTCTCAGAATTTGCCCTCTAAGAAGCCCCATTAGTCTGTGCGGATGAGAATTATGGGGAAGGATGAGGGAGCTGGACTGGCCTGGATAGATTATGCAGTAGAAAAACCTTTTTTTGTCTGAAAAGTAGCTCAGAGGCACCTCTTAACTCTACTCCTTATTCATGACACCTTGGGGAGAAAGTAACATCCTCCAGGTGATCACATTTTGGAAAACTATAAGCTGTCAGTCAACCAATGATGGATTAAGTGAGACAGTCCATTCTGATATATTGGTATGTATTCTTGGGGCATGGCCACTGATTATAAAATATTTATGGGTGATAGAATCAGAGTGCAGATTGAGGCATATATGTATAAGTAATATAGGCATATGTAGTATATGTGTGTTATAAATATATATATATATATATATATATATAACATAGGCACATATAGTATGTGTAATATATAATATATAAGATATATACAAAATTATATAACTAATTCAAGAATTTGTTTTGCATGACCGTTTACCTTTATAATGGTTTTTCCCTTGTTTTCTCAATGAGGAGAGGTGAGTGGAAGGGAAAGAGTTGAGAGCTGAAAATAAAATTGAATTAAAAATAATAACATGACTCAATAATGAAATAAATGAAGCCATGATGAAATTACTTTAAACTTTTTGGAAAACAAACTGGATGATACAAAATGTAAATGCAAGGCAAGGTACTTGCCCTTATTGACATCATGGTCTAGTTGAGAGGACTGCTAAATAAATACTCATAGTTATGATAGACACTATTACAAGTATGATGGAAACGTGAGTAAGATTAAGGGCTGGAATAAGATGACGACTCTTAAGGATCTATGAGAAAAACACTCTTCAAAACAATTTTTTTTTGGCAGGCAATGTATGTCAGAAGAAAGAAACTTTTTTGAGTACTGAGCTTGGCATGTAGTAGACACTTAATGAATATTTGATTGACTGGTTGATTAAGATAATGTGCTTTGTGTGAGACTATGCTAGGTACTAGGAATACAAAGACAATAATTGAAC